TAGCCGACAAAACCATACTGTTTATACTTTTGCCCGAATAGCGAGCAAAATAATTTGTATGAATTGTTTGCCTCGTTATAAACAGCGGTAGAAATCCATGTGATTAACAGTATAATGAAAGCGTGGGTTAAACCAAAGAAAAAGAAACCAATTTTTGTAATCAAATAGGATTTGCCGAAAAAGACGAGATAAGCCAACGTCGAGATTATGGCACTGTTTGTAAACCATAGCAAACATATAAACTTTGACCAATACTTCTCATTATATTTGGTAATCTCGATGTAAATTGCATTTAAATCATACATGATTCGTGATAAATNTTGGCAACCTTATCATACAATAATAAAAACGCTTTACCCTGATGCAACTAATTTATTTGCATTATTATCTGGTTATTTAAATAAATAAATAAATAAATCATAGGCCATATTATACGAGTACTGTACCATGATAGATATTTAATATAATAGTACATACAGACAAAACATAATCATTTGACAAAATACATACAAAATATTAGTTATATCTCATGACCGAGTACAGTTTTAATCCATGGTAGGTAGTGAACAAGCCGGGTATAAGTACCAGGGTGGGTAGACCCACACAGCTCGGCCGCACCGTACGACACCAGTCCGTACTGAGTGAATCGACCCTTTGCCTCACAAACGAGTGGACCCCCAGAGTCACCCCCACAAAAGTCATGCTTTTCACTACCGGCACAGATATGCTTTTTAGTGTCATAATCACCGTCCCATGACTTAGAGCACCTGGACCTCTCATGAACCTTCACCTCCACCTCCCTTAACACCGGAGAAAGCTGTCCCTCAGCCTCCCGGCCCTTTACGGTATTACCCCACCCGGACACTATACACGTGCAGCCTGTTATTTCAGGGGCGTTAGGTTGTGGTAGACATGCCGGCGCCAAGTGCTTATGGATGCCATCGAAGTCTAGCGTCACGTTAATCCTAATTAATGTGATGTCGTTGTCGTAGGCTTTGGTGTCGAAGTCCTTATGTATGACAATCTATTCGTGAGATTTTCAATTTGTATTAAACTTAGATATTTTAATAACATGTCTCACCTCCTCGGCGCCGGCATATACTTCGGTGCCCTCGTGTTTGGCGGTGTCGTACTCTCCCAAAGTCACCGACACTTCCCATTCGTCGGACGGGTCGATGAAACAATGGGCGGCCGTTAAGATCCATTGGCTGTCAACTATACTCCCGCCGCAGATATTTGTAGTTGTACCAGGCTTCTTTATCTCTAGGTAGGCTATCCATGGGTAGTACCCCTTACGGACTGGTATGCCCCCAAGGATTCTGAAATGAGGGGAGTCACGGGGAACTCCGCATTGTTTATCACATAATACTATTTGTAAGAAACTTATAGTTATATAAAATGATTGTAAAATTAAATGGAAGTTAATATTCATTTTATTGATGTTTTAGGTAAACAAATACCATTTGGCATTTTGATTTAATTAGTTTATTTAGTAATCTAGTTAGCGTTTCGATTCAAAGGGGTAAATAGTTTATATAGCCTTTTTAACTAATTGTTAGCATGCACATTTTGTATTAAATTTTATAAAATAAAATATATTGTTCTAATAAAATATATTAATCAGGTCATACATGAAACTAATACAAATACTTAATATTTTTAATATGAATAAGTTTTATGTTAAGTATAATAAGTATAAATTATATACAGTATTTTCTTAGACCGATATAAAACAAATTACTTTGTATTATATTTCTTATGATATAAATTTATAAAAATACTTTAAATTATGGTAAATTGAATTTTACTGTAAAATACTGTAAATATATTCAAACAAGGTTATATTTATTTTTGATTAATTTAATATATTTACATTTACAATATAAGTAATACAGATTTACTGTAATGATTTAATAAAATAGATTTAAAAATTATTACTAGAAGAAACACATACATGTCATTAATAATAAAAATTATATAACAACTTATCATAGTAAAACATTATAAATTTATCACCAAAATTTCTAATTCATGTTTAAAATAAAAATAAATAACTTTATATTATCATTGAAAACCGTGTATAAAAATGTTTAAAATATTTTAACACTACGTTTACAAAAGGTTTACATTATAGTAACAATGTTAATTTTAAATGCATAAAAGTAAAACCTATTTATTAAATAAGATTAATAAAAATAATAACAATGTTTGTGTATATAAATAATTTTAATGTATAAAATAAATGCTGTTTTTGAGTAGACTTGTCTATTTATAGTTTATTTCTATTAAATATAATTTAATTGTTAATATGTGTTCACAATTATAACATTTCATAGCACATTAATAAATGTCTTACTTTTAGACGTCAAAGCACACTATTATACAAAAATAACAAATTAATTAACGTGTTTATAGTTTCATTAAGTATAACAAAAATTTCCACAATATATTATTATACTAATGATATTTGATAATAACAATAATAATATATTGTAGAAAACTAATTTGCATTTAAGTAATTAGGTAAATGACTAAAATGTTTGCATTTTGAATTCCGTTACAGAAATATGTGCTCAGTATTAGTGCCATAAACGACCAAATAGTGGTCAATAGGTTGTTGTTTACGTTTATTAGGCTTTGGTTTAATAAATGTCTCATTCGCTCGTATATTATGTCCAATAAATTATTATCTATATCTATAATTAATTTATTGTGAAAATATTAAAATAAATTATTTAAAATTATAGACATACATTATTTAATAATAGTACCTTGATATTTTAATATTTTCAAATCGCTATATTTAATGATAGATACCATTATAAGCGATAGTAATATTAGTAACCATGTTGATAATGAATACGTCCTGAGCATGGCTAATAAATCTGTGCTCTCACGGTACAGTGCACTTAAAATGACCATGTTGTATTCCTCTTTAAACCATTGACCATTTGCAAATTTGGCAAAGTTTTTATCCATACCCCATGCCCCTAGTGCTAAATCAACATCCTAGATGAAATATTATTGTTATTAAACAGTCAACAAGTTGTTAGACATTGATTATGTACCGGGTGATTTTCCATATATGTTTGAATATTCTCCCAATTCTTTAATATTCTCACAGTTATGTTAAATTCATAAAACTTTCCGCCACTTAATGAGTTTAATATTTCGTTTTCAAATGAACATATTTCCTAAAATATTTTAAAAACATAATTAATTTTCATAATGAATTATACAATTTTTAATTTCAAATAAATTATTAATACATTACTGAATCCAAATGCAATTATTGATAAATTACTTGAAATATTTCTCATTACAGTATCACCAAAGTTGTAATTTTTACAGCGATTTATTTGTGATATAAACAAATCAGTCATTATATTTTAAAATAATAATTTACCTATTTTATATAAAATTTTTAAAATATTAATAAACTTGTACGATTATAAATATTTACTTTAATTTAAAATTAATTGTATGTTATGATGATTATTATAAATCAGTAAATGTTGAAGGCAAATTTAATTTCCAATCTTTTTATTAATTTAATAAATAATTATTTTTATGTTAAGAAAGTATTTGTAGTTACTAATACATTTGGCACTATAAATTAAATAAACGCAGTAGTATTTGTGAACTGGATAATGATGTACTCGAGTGTTAACCTGTAATTATACTACAATTAACAAAAATGTACCTGATAATTTCTCACACGAAAAATGATTATTGATTTACACATTATAAACATCTATATTTTTGTATTCACCAAAAGTGGTGATCAATACTTGCACAGGTATATGATAACAGTAGAGAATTCAACTTACTGTATTTAATATTTATTTTATAATAATATTTTATTTTAATTTAAATAGTTAAAACAATAATAGGTAACACCATAGTAAGTGATAAAATTAATTACAAACACGGTATAAATATTAAGTATTTACATATCAATAGGAATATTACACAGACTTTTGTTGTATAAAGCTCCTAATGATTGTATTTATTGTTTTTATACTTTATTAACAATATAAACATTTTTTTATTAATAAATAATTAGCATAAAGACATTATTAATAGGAAAAAAGAAATATTTCATAAATTATAATTACAATTGTGAATACTGTTATAGAAATAATTATTTTGTTAAATAGCTAATTACCGTGCATATTTCATAATTCTATTGAATAAAATATTTATAAAAATATTTTGAAAAATAACAAATTGTCTACGGAGCTTGTAATTAGTCATACCCACAGAAAAATTAATAAAAATTGACAATAGCGAGCTATTTACAATCTTATTGCTATAAGATTTATTAATTATTAAGATTTATTTATAATTATTGCTATAATTAGATAATTTATAAATCTTCTAGTAACAAATTGATAACAAAGTTCATCAGCAAAATAACATTTTTATATAAAATAAAATAAATAATCATGCATAACATTGCTATGGATAATAATTTTAAAAAATTATTTTGTTAGTTTAAATATACAACTAAATTAGATTGCTATTGCTATTTATAAAATAAAATTGCAACATTTTTATTAAAAATCAAATTATTGAATCTAGTCACAATAAAATGAATTTCGTTTATTTAGCCAACTGTTGAGTTTGACATAAATACAGGTTTCACTTATGTATAATTATTACATGTATTGTATAGTATTACAGTATAATATTATGTATTATAAAAATATTATTCATATTAAGCAAGCATTGCAAATAAATATAAATTTTTGTGAATAAAATATTTAATTATAGCATACATCTAGTTTACATTTTATTATCACACATTGCAGGTGTAATAAAACAAATATACAGAATAAACATAATATTAATATGAAGTAAGTATTAATTTGCTAATCAAATAAAAAACACTATTGTTAAAAATTATTCTCATCATTGTATCAATAATACAATTGAATGTGTATTTAATTTGAACTAATAAATCAATATTCAAAAATATGATACATTAGACAATCATAGGGAAAAGCATATCATTTTAGTAATTGTTAAGAGATTGAGTATATGTCATATTCACAGATTGATGATAAAATAATATGATAAAGTTGATAATTATCTATCAGATTATCTTATATTGTCTTGCTTATTATGCTTATGGCTTAAGTGTTTACTCGTGGACTCTGTCGGGTAGGATGTTGTGTCAGGGTAATGCAACACAGGCCCAGACTCAGTCCCTATTGAAGTGCGACAAAATGATGAGACCCGAGGTCCTTTTTGAAAGAAAATTTCTAAAAACTTTTCACAAAAACTTATTTGATTTTTATTAAATAGCGAAAGAAATTACTGGAGATATGTCTGAAGGAAGTCAAAGGATATACTCTGACCGATAATAAGCCCCGCATCTGCTCCTACAGTCAGAATGAGGACGGGTATCAGGTATGGCTTAAATAGGAAATGTTTTTTGTTAATATTCATATACAGTATCATATTGATTATGGTTTATTTGTGGAGGTTATGGACTGTATGTTCAATAAGACCGGTAAAGTCTACGGCAAGAAATTCATGGCTAATGCTGTGGATGAGGACTTCGATGCCATCGATGCCGTCGAGAATGACTTCGAGGTAATCGTCTGTTTAAAAAATAAACTGTAAAACATATGACAGTAATTGACTTTAATTTTTATACCACAGATAGCTTCTCCCATTAAAAATAAGTTTTTAATAATTATCTATTATGAAAATATTATGAAAAATAAATGACAGTCTTTTAGATTTTTGTTACTATTCTATTTATATTTAATAATTTTAATAATTATTTTCAATCTATTTTCTACATTGATGAATTAATGGCAAAGTGGTGTGTGATGAAAGTGGGCTCAATCTATGGCTTTGAGCACTTGTGTGACATTCAACTGAATGCCAACCAAAACAAGGCTATCCAGGAGTGCGGCAAAAATGCCACCGAAGTATGCATTCATAGCAAACATATTATTACTATTAATAGTCTATTATTTAAATCTAAATTATATTAACGTGTATATTAACAGTTGCTTAAAGTGCTCAACGATTGTCGCACAGAAAACAAGGTTAAAATCGACAATAAGCCAGCTACATGTGACTTTTACGGCAATGTTGATGTAATTATAATAACCTTTATTATAAACTGCTCTAGCATATTTTCAATAATAACATTGCCATTGGCACAGGTATTGAAGTGCTATAACAAGGTGTCCCTAAAGTGGAAGGAAAGCGATCAAAACGAGAAGTGGAATCAATATATTGTCAGTAAATTTAATCCAGTTCATTTTATATAGTATTAATTTTAATATTTGATTTTATATAGGAGTGCTTAGCCGATATACCCAAATGACAACCCCGGACCCCACCGCACATTGACATCCCATTCCCCCACACCTCCCACTAAATGCCACAGACAATTCACCTTGCACTTCGAGTTGATTATATTTATTTAAAATTAGTTTTTAATAAAACCCTTAATTTTTAAATTAACAATTTTGAAAAGTATGTATAAAATATTATGTTTTGTATTATAAATATTACATTTTGCTTGGCAACCTTATCATACAATAATAAAAACGCTTTACCCTGATGCAACTAATTTTTTAAAATTATTATCTGGTTATTTAAATAAATAAATAAATGATAAATCATACTGTACGAGTACTGTACCATGGTAGATATTTAATATAATAGTACATACAGACAAAACATAATCATTTGACAAAATACATACAAAATAGTAGTTATATCTCATGACCGAGTACAGTTTTAATCCATGGTAGGTAGTGAACAAGCCGGGTATAAGTACCAGGGTGGGTAGACCCACACAGCTCGGCCGCACCGTACGACACCAGTCCATACTGAGTGAATCGACCCTTTGCCTCACAAACGAGTGGACCCCCAGAATCACCCCCACAAAAGTCATGCTTTTTACTACCGGCACAGATATGCTTTTTAGTGTCATAGTCACCATCCCATGACTTAGAGCACCTGGACCTCTCATGAACCTTCACCTCCACCTCCCTTAACACCGGAGAAAGCTGTCCCTCAGCCTCCCGGCCCTTTACGGTATTACCCCACCCGGACACTATACACGTGCAGCCTGTTATTTCAGGGGCGTTAGGTTGTGGTAGACATGCCGGCGCCAAGTGCTTATGGATGCCATCGAAGTCTAGCGTCACGTTAATCCTAATTAATGTGATGTCGTTGTCGTAGGCTTTGGTGTCGAAGTCCTTATGTATGACAATCTATTCGTGA